CGGCTCCAGCTGCGCTTGGAGAAGACTCAGTGATGGGCCAGGCGCCTGCCAAAGCCTCCTCAGAGCTTGCACCCGGAGGCTCCCAGCACCTCTACCCTCCAGCAAAGTTAGACTCACATTCCAGAGAGACCACCATCGCCTCCGTTGGGCTTTGTGGAGCGTTCTTACAAAGCCTGGGCTCTACATTTCATGGACGGATTGGCTAACCGAGTGCAGTTTCTTAGAAGGAGATTGGTGTTGCTCAACAGGAGAAGGACGCGAGTGCCAGCGGAGTGCTGACCCGTGCCCGGGAAGCGGCTTCCCAAATAAGGCTACGAAGCTCCTGCACACACAGACGTTCCCAAGGCACAGCCGGCTGCTCCTCGAGCACTGGAGGAACTCAAGTGTCTCACAAGAAAGTGAAAAGAAAGAACACCACTCCTCAGAAAAAAAACACATGCCGGGGAGGGACGTGACCAAACTTCCTTTAAGAGGCACAGGCTAAATTTACAATAAAGAAAACTTTCCAATCAGCTTCATGATTTGGAGGTGCCTTCCCGCAAAGTGAAGTCTTTCAAATAACAATTGTATAACAATTCAAGGCTGCAAGCCAAAAGCCTGCTTTTAATATTATTTGCTGTTGGTTTATTCTTCCCTTCCCCTTCTCTCCCCAAATCCAACTTAATATCATGCAAATAAATGCTGGCCCCCAAGGTCCCCTCTGCTTTTCCCCGGAGAGACAGGGCTCAAGTTCCTGGAACTACAACTGCTTGTAGTTACGCGCCTCCCACTAATGCCCTGGCATTCACTCTGCACGTAAGCACGGAGGAGCTGCGGGGCTCTGCATCTCTCAGGCTGCCCCTGAAGCTCAGAGACGGTGCTCTCGGGAGACAGCAAGCGTTTGCGGACCACGTTGGGCAGTAATAGAGGAAAGCCATGTCTGGTGGCAGCACCGAACCCAATTCTGACTCACAGAGCCTGGCATGATTTGCGCTCCCTTCCCAAAACACGGCTGTACATCGAGGAGTTTCCTCGGCTCACTGCTCCTGGCTGCGGGAAAGCGTGACACTTGGAACTGCAAGCAGATGCCACAAATTCCTGCTGGCTCATCCTGCAAGCCGTGTTTTGTAAACTTCAGAGCGGAACAGAAACAAAACCAAGCTTTTAAGACTGAAGGGCATCCCGGCACACCTGGAGCACGGCTTCCCGATTCCTCCCGCCGGACGTGGCATCTCACCAAGCGGCGCTGATTTTGACAGGGGTCTCTTTGGAGGGAAGCGCAGCATCAGCTCTAGATCCCAGCTGAGAACTGCAGAGACGTGCAGAAGATGAGGAAAACTGCAAGAAATACTGCTGCTCCAGGCAGCTGGTGGGTGCGGTCTGTAACTCCTTAGAAGCAGCCGCCACAGCGGGCATATTTGTTTCCAAAATTGCAGCCTGCTTCTGGCATCTCCTCAGTAATGCCCGTAACAGGTCTGTTACCCAAGAGAGATGAACTGGTAACAGACCAGCCAGAAGCAAGAGCCACAGCCCACTGGTGGCTTTGGCTCCAAAAACGTAACAACGTAGTTTCACGTGCACGGCAGAGCTGTGATCGTAGCATCTCCTTGACGTTCACAGGCATTTTCTCCTGGGTGAGTTTAGGTCTGAGCGTCACAGCGCCTGCCACAAAACTAGTCCAGCATTGACAGAAAGGATGTAACATGGTTGAGGGCACACAAAGTGACAAACATCTGTATCTAACCTGGTTATCACCTTGCACACGGCCTCAGCCTGTCACAGAGTGAAGCATCCAGCCTTTACAGCGAGCCGTTACATCACCTAAAATTAAGTCCTGCCTGCATGCAGCCTGGTCTATGCCAAAGCGCGCTCTGGAGCTTCGGCAGAGTATTGAAGCAGCTACAGGTTGAATCAGACACAGGGGATTTCACTGCTGGTTTATTTAACCCTAACCTAAGCAACCAGCTCACTTGATGATTAACATTACACATATCTGATGGGCATCAACTGCATCCAGTTGCCAGGTGACGTGCTAAGTAACGAAGCAGCAGTAGGATACGATGGATGAGAAGGGCTCCCCAGGGACAGGCCCATGGTGCCCTGCCCCAAGCTGCCCCCTCTGCCCCAGTGGGATGCCCACGCCCAGCTCCCCTTCCCCGGCAAAGCCGAACCTGCCCCCCAGGAGCAGGATGGCTCCTAGGTAATCCAAGCCAAAGGCTGTTGGCAGCGGCCCAGAGCCCGGCAGCCTTGCCTGTGCCACTGCCTGACATC